ACGTTGCCCGCGTGTGATATTTTTTTCGATTGGATTTCATGGGTTTCAATTTTTTTGTACGGAACCCTAATTATTTTTCTAAAATAAAAGTACCATAAGTTACTCCTTATAACATCAGCTATATGCCAGTGAAAGTCCCGTCAAATTCGGTCTAGCCATTTCGGAGATAGCCGGAACAAATAGATAGACAGACAGGCGAAAATTTTAAAAATTATGTTTTTGTTATAAGTACTGTATATTCTTTCATATGCATTTAGTAATAATTTAAAATTAAAAATTTTGTACAGCCGGCTTCAATATAAGATATTAAGAATAACTCAAAAACTATTGGTCTGACTTTAATCAAATTCATATGGGACCACAAGAGAAGTACCAGCTTTCAAATAAAAAAAGAATTATCGAAATCGGTTCACCCAGTAAAAAGTTATGATGTAACACACATTAAAAAACATACAGTCGAATTGAGTACCGTCCCCTTTTTGGAAGTCTGCAGAAAAACGGTTATTTTGACATTACAAAGAGACACTTCAATTTTATTTATTTGTATAGACATAACGCCAGACATAAAACAAAGCTTCATCTAATCTACTGCAATTTGATATAGAAAAGTTCACTTTGCGTATTTCTGCAAATAATTAGTTTAATGGCATATTTTCATTATTATAGTATAGTAGGTATAAACGGCTGCTAAGGGGCTATTCAGATAAACTAGCTACAACAGAAGATACCCATGGCAACCAGAGGACTTTTACGAGCTCATGAAGAAGTAAAGGACTTGTATACTTCTAATCACCTAATCCTAAACTCTGTAAATAAATAACATGTTTCATGTTTCTTCAAAGTAAACTAAGTCCAAAGTTATGCTAAGAGATCTTAACGCGTACATGTGTTTATTAATTTGTTGCGATATTAAATTTTATTTTTACTGTAAAAATAGATTCGTCAGTTTCCACCGGTAGAGGATTAAAATGAGGGAGCGGCCCTCCAGCCCCTCTCATTGCGCCTTCCATCGCCCTCCCGCGACGACAGATGATAGATTAAATATTGTTCTATTCTGGCAATGCGTACGTCACGATAAGTGTTTGGCAATCTGGCAATACGTACGTCACGATAGGTATTTGAGTACATCAGAATAGTATTACGATCAAAAGATACTTTAAAAATCATTGGTTTTCATTTCAGTTCAGTTGTAAGTTTGTTTAACATCCTGGCGCACCACTTTATCGTCGTAAGTCCTTCAGTTTCTGTAAAAGACTGTCATCATCACAGCCCTTCACAAGTCTACTGCTAAACATAGACATCTGCATCAATCGACTTCCTGCACGTCTTACCAGATCATGACACAATTTATTGGGGGCCGCTTTACACTTCGCCTACTGGTACGAGGCTGCCACTCGAGAACCTTTCTTCCCCGTCGGTTGCCGGGAAGGACTGTGACTCTGACAAGTTAGGGATTTTCGACCCATAAGATAATATATGAAATTGATCTTGTGTTTTGCCTTCTGAAGATGGAATATCTCACACCTCTATGTTGTAAGCATCCTATAATAATTGTCCAAAACGGTAAATACCATAACAGAACAAAAATAGATGAAAATACTCCTACTATCGGAAAGTATGTATCATCATTCATCATCATCATCATTACAGCCCTTCACAAGTCCACTGCTGAACATAGGCCTCCCCCAAAGAATGCCATAAAGCACGGTCCTGAGCCACCTGCATCCATCGACTTCTTGCATATCTTACCAGGTCGTCACTCCATCTAGTGGGGGGCCGCCCTACACTTCGCCTGCCGGTACGAGGCTGCCACTCGAGAACCTTTCTTCCCCATCGGTTGTCGGTTCTTCGAGCTATATGGCCGGCCCATTGCCACTTCAGCTTACTAATCCGTTGGGCTATGTCGGTCACTCTAGTTCTACTGCGGATATCCTCATTTCTGAGTTTATCACGCAGAGAAACTCCGAGCATAGCCCTCTCCATAGCTCGCTGAGCGACCTTGAGCTTCCTCATCCGGCCAGCAGTGAAGGACCACGTCTCAGTTCCGTATGTCATCACTGGCAACACGCACTGGGTGTACAGTCTCGTTTTCAAGTTTTGAGGTATACCTGACGAGAAGATGTGCCGTAATTTCCCGAACGCTGCCCAACCGAGTTGAATCCGTCGATTGACCTCTCGGTCGAAGTTGGACTTACCTAGTCGGACTATTTGTCCCAGGTAAACATACTCGTCAACAACTTCGAGCTTAGTGTTCCCAACAACTACCGGCATAGGTATGACATGGACATTAAACATGATCTTTGTTTTGTCCATGTTCATCTTAAGACCTATCCGTTGGGAAACACTATTGAGGTCATTGAGCATAGTGCTTAGGTCCTCCAGCGATTCTGCCATAAGGACTATATCGTCGGCAAATCGAAGGTGAGTGATGTACTCGCCATTGATGTTGATACCGTATCCTTTCCAGTCCAGAAGCTTGAAAACATCTTCCAATGCAGCGGTAAAGAGTTTCGGGGATATGACGTCACCCTGTCTTACACCTCTCTGCAATTGGATAGGTTTCGTACTCTGGTTCTGTACTCGGATAGCCATCGTAGCCCTACTGTACAAGCACTTCAACACTTCGATATACCGACAGTCAACTTGGCATCGCTGAAGGGACTGCAGCACCGCCCAAATTTCGACGGAATCAAAGGCTTTCTCATAGTCCACATACGCCAGACATAGTGGCAAATTGTACTCCTCGGACTTCTGTACAATTTGCCGAAGGGTATGTATGTGGTCTATGGTGCTAAAGCCTTTTCGGAAACCGGCTTGTTCGGGAGGCTGGAAGTCGTCAAGTCTGCGCGCGAGACGATTCGTAATGACTCTCGAAAACAGCACGTAGACGCGGCTCAGAAGGGAAATCGGTCTGTAGTTCTTCAAGAGAGCGTTGTCGCCTTTCTTGAAGAACAAGACCACCGCACTTCTGCTCCACGCCTCCGGTGTAATGCCACCATGGAGGACGGAATTAAAGAGCTTCTGAAGGACTTCAAGTACCGGTTTTCCACCCGCTTTCAGAAGCTCCGCTGTAATTCCATCCTCGCCTGGGGCCTTGCCGTTTTTAAGGTGCTGGAGAGCCATTCTAATCTCGCTCAGACTGACGTCCGGGATATCATCGGAATAATGTCGGATAAGACTCGCTCTTGGATCGATACTCACACTTGCGTGCGGAAAGTATGTATAGAAGGTTCTAATAGGTATATTATATATATTTTTTTATAGGATCGAGTGACAAACGAGCACACAGTCCACCTGATGGTAAGTGGTTGCTGTGGCCCATAGACATCTACATCTATCCTCGTTTGCGAATCAAAATGCAGATGCGTTGTCACTCGTGAGGACTAAGATGGATTGCCTCTTATCCAGTAAAAAGGGTCTCCGGTTCTCTACACTCACCATACGAAACACAGCAGTGTTAAGCTGCTATTTTACGCTGGTATTCTGTGAGCGCGTGGTCCTTCCCCGGTCGAGCCGATCCATTCGTGTTACAACTATACTACTAATATAGCTGCAGCATGGCTCTACCACGTAGTAAGTATTATTTTTACATAGTATTTTTGTAAAATGAATAAAAGGCCGATTTATTTGACGCAAATTCGTATTCTTACAGTGGCATTATCATCGACAAATTGAAATTAATTATTTTAGATTTTTAAATATCCGGATGGGAAGTAAATTTTCCATTATTACCTTGAACGTGTACGGCCGTGATAAGAATTACTCATTCGATGGTGATCCTCCCACACCGTGTGCTGTTAGGTAGGTATTTAACAGCCACTAATCAAAAACAGGCAAAGGTATTGTTTGCGTATTTGTGGCGCAACATAAGCTAGCTGATGTGTGCTTGTAAAGTAAAAGCGCAAGCAAAAACGTTAATTTAAAATGGTTACATGTATAAACACACGTAATTTTTATAGTATCAGATGACAAACGAGCCAACAGTCTACAGTACATTTATCCTCAAATAAGAATCAAAATGCAGATGCGTTCTCACATCTGAAAGCTAAAATGAAATGCCTCATATCCACTAAAAAGGGTCTCCGGTTCTCTACACTCACCATACGAAACACAAAAGCATTAAGCTGCTATTTTACGCTGGTATTCATATTATTATGAAATTGTGATAAAGATATAGTTATGTTTTATAGTTTTTCACTAATTAAACTATTTGCTACAGAGTAATATTTTTATTTAAGTATTACAATCATCATTTTAAAAGAAAAATATTAGTGACGCAGGCTGTATGTCAGTCATTTCGAAGATTAGTCACACTTACAAACAGGCACGAAATACACGAGTTAAACGCATGTCTTGTCGTTAAACACTAGACCGGGGACCAGGGGTGTATCATAATAAAGTAAACAAAAGAAATCTGAGTTACATGACATGCAATTTCAATGGCAACTAATAGGTATAATCATTCTATTTAGCAAATTGAAACATATCGATGATTTAATAAATAAGATAATGGATATGAAAACTATAGTTTGCCCTAAAGAGCATTCATAATAAACATCTTTCGCGATAACAAACACCTAAATACATTTGTTTTCGCTACAACAAAACGTGATTATGTGTATTGTGTACGGGGCAAGGAGACATCGGCCCGCGGCACCCGGTCAAGGTATCCGGGCCAAAGGTCGATGACAGACCGGCGCATCGCCTCTCGGTCTCTACACAAGTAAGACAAGCACTGGATGTAAACAAACTTTTTATTAATCATTATGAATGGGACAATTAGGTCATTATTACTATACGCCGAAGAGCGACCTGACCGGCAGCATATTTACATTAAAATGAGGGACCAATGGCCGCCTACTTCTGTAAATTAATTATGACTTAATCATTAAACTGTTATTATGAAATAAAACTGGATTATGGAATTACATTAAATTAAGTATAGCCTTTACAGGGTTAAACAATTTTTATAAAATTTTATGAAGAAAATAGTAGCTAACCTGATGATATGGATTCATTTTCTGACTTAGGCGTCGTAGGTGGCATCGGCAATGGCATGGAAGGCAGAGGCTGTGTTGGCGGTTGTTGCTGCTGCTGCATATTGCATGAATTGCCAAGCAACGACTGTGCTGTATTGTATGTAATGCCATCGTCGTAACCCCATAGCTCTAGCCCACCGTATTCCGGCGAGGCGAGCGACTCCGGCGACATAACCATAGCCGGCGGCAAACCCAAAGCTGAAGACGAAGTTACTTCGGACGAACTTTCCTCGAGCATTCGCAGCGAATGAAAGCCTCCGTTATTAGACCAGCGGCGTCTCATGTCGATGAGCGCGTCACACGCACTCTAAGCCACGATCGCCGACGGGCATCCTCTGGTGCTCCTGTCACTTCACTTTTGCCTCACACTGAACTATCAATAAAGCTATACTAGCGACATCCACTATACTACGCGGCGTCGAAACCGAAACGAATCGTTTCCCACCGTCTCGATAGTTTCACTAAATAAGCTTATTAGACGACTTGCAATGATAACTTTTTCTGGACACTACACAATACGAATTCAACAGGTAAGATGAGAGTCACGTCACATAAGTTTGTTCGTTTTGATAGTTTACTACGAATGACCGCGACAAGAAACCGAGCACGTTGCACGCGGACGACCGTCGTCAACGGAGTACATAGAGCGAGCGAACAAGCGACGCGACCGCTCTCACTGCCACGGTCGATTGTGACGTCACGCCTCACGTCCCGCCCCCGTCGCCCCGTTTCCAAGCCGCGCAACCGTGGCACAGAAAGTCAAGTCACCGGCGACATAAACATAATGTAGCGCACCGATAACACCCCTACTAAAATTTAAGAAGGCAGCTTTACTTGCTTTATCAAATCAACTCCGCTAGTTACGCAATTTTTGAAGTTTTAGAAGTATAATTTTGCTTACTTTTCCTTGAAATCGGAATAAATATCATTTTAAGCTTATGTTTCAGTTTAAGCAATAGAATAATTTCTAAGTATAGTTTAAAATTTTGTTCATTAATTATTTCTGTTTAAGCACTTTTTGCAAGACGCTTTCTTTTATTAAATCTACTATGTATAAATGATAAATAAAAAAGGAAGGAATGTAATTGTTAAATTATTTTATTTTTCTCATAAATCATTAAAATGTATTTATTACATCATATACTTAGTTATGTTTCTATGTGTCATAATATATCATATACGGGCGTTATAAAAATTTGATAGCATTAAGCACCAGGTATACATGACTTGCATCGCTACTATCTCTATTATTAGGAACATTTACAAAAATCTTCGTGACACCGATCTGTCCTCCAAATAATATTAGCATGATGACCCACATACATACTTTGAATTTGGGTTATCTCCCTCAACAGCGTGATAGGTGCCTCATATTGCAATCATCTTTATAATCCGTTAAGCGTCCTATCCTACCTTGATTACAAATTAATTTTGTTTACCTTTTAAAAAAATCGGAAAATGCAATTCCTTAACATATGATAAACAATATTATGTTTAATATTGTTACTCTAACTTTTTTGAACATTAGGATAAGGAGTAAGAAATATTTAAATTTATAAAACCAGAAGTAATCAACAAGTAAATTTTTCTATGACAATAATCTTTACGCAATCTAAAGTAGGTAGGTACCTAAATAATGTACTCAAAAGTACATAAAAACCTAATGGCCTACGTTCATGCAATAGGCATAATATCTTAGCGGTAAAGAAAAAGGAAAAGTACTAGCATGGTATTACTAAAAATAGTTGATATTTTAATGTATAAGCTATATCATTTTTGTCAACATTTAGTACTATGGTTAAATGCAGCATTAACTTCTAGACTAGTTATATTTTATATAAGCTTTTTGACCATCGTGTAGATAAATGGTTATAGTACCTCGCCACTATACCGTAGTTCTTGCATTCGGATATCAGCCAAGGACAATATTATTTAAAACAAGTGCTAAAATTAAAAATTTTATACAACCGACTTCACACGCCCTCCTACACTTCGCCTGCCGGTACGAGGCTGCCACACGAGAACCTTTCTTCCCCATCGGTTGTCGGTTCTTCGAGCTATATGGCCGGCCCATTACCACTTCAGCTTACTAATCCGTTGGGTTATGTCAGTTACTTTAGTTCTACCGCGAATATCCTCGTTTTTAAGTCCATCAAAGAAATCCCGAGCATAAACCTCTCCATAGCTCCTTGGGCTTCCTCATAAGGCCAGCAGTGAAGGACCACGTTTCAGGTTCATAGGTCATCACTGGCAACACGCACTGGTTGAACAATCTTGTTTTGAGGTTTTGAGGTATGTCTGACGAGAAGATGTGTCGTAATCTCCCGAACGCTGCCCTATGACAAAACAAAAGTTTATCTATTATGGCGGTTTATCATATCCTGTACACTAACCTCTATGTATTACTCTACACTACCCTATATCTACCCTCTATCGTTCTGTGGATGCCGAAAGACACGACAGAGTAATACAAACATGGAGTAGCATCGTCTTCCGAATAATAATAACTTTTTGTACTTATTTTAATAAGTCACTTTCAGAAAAGATGTAGAAGTGCTTTAACTGACGGAGGAGTATCAACTCGTTTATTAATGAAATACATAAAAGAATTAAGGAATATAAATAAAGATTTATTATATTTACCCGAACACTGCACATTAAATGAAACTAATTTTACGGATTTTGTCGCGTTGAATTTAACTTTTTAATTCCCGACGTTTCTGGTGCTTTACAGCACACATGGTCACTGGGGTAACATTTTTATATTTATAACCACTCATTTAAAAAAAAATAATGCAATATGTAATATTGGAGTTTTAAACGTCGGTGTAAACTTTGGGCATTGTATCAAATATTACGAGTAGATTAGATTAGAAACTTGTGTAAAAGGAAATCATGTTCGCCGAGAACCGATTCTCATCACCGCATCACGTGTTCTCAGAGCGTTGACCTATTCATGTTTTGGAAATACGCATTCAAATACGCGAACATCTCTTCCGTAGCTGTGTAAACACCAACAATTATTTATCTGCAAATTGAACAGCTAGACAATGTCGTCGAAAGAATGAATTATTTATTCCAATTAATTTAACGCCAACTATTCGCTTATTACGTAGGTGTCAAGCAGTTTTTTTTTTTATAGTTGACAAGCGGATTTATTTGCGCACGTTCCTATCTTACGTGTCTGTAGGTAGAGAGACACACGCTTAAAATGTTATGGCGAAGTAGTTTTTGAATTAAATAAATTAATGATTCATTTATATTATTCCGCATAAAATTAAACAATTTTGAAGTCAGTGGACGATGAAAGAAAATAACAAATCATGTTCCTTCCTTCATTTGACTTGTTTTTTTTTTTGTAACTTTCGTGACTAGAAAATAAAAAGAATGTACGGATGGGACTTAGACGATTAAAAAAACGTCCAATTTTTATTCGCCTCTCTTTTTATTAAAATTAAATAAATTCGTAGAAGTTTTTTTTATATAGGATCGGGTGACAAACGAGCACACAGTCCACCTGATGGTAATTGGTTACTGTGACCCATAGACATCTACATCTATCCTCAATAAAGACTCAAGATGCAGATGCGTTGTCACCCGTGAGGACTAAGATGGAATGCCTCTTTGCCAGTAAAAGGTCTTTCATTTTAGAAGATAGTACGCACCTGGGCGGCAGAGATTTGCTCTACATTAGAAAAATATACTTAAATAATAGATATGGGATAAGGGATGGGATATCTAGAGAAACCTGTATATAAATTATGTTTCTGACTTAATTATAGGTAATCGACGTGGTAAAACAGAACGTTGCATGGAAAATAGTTCTGTTGGAAAAGCCTTTTATTGAATGAAACCTATTTTTTACGGATTTTAACGTGTTTAATTTTCGTTTCTCGGTAGCCATTCATCTTAAGCATGTTAATCTGTTAAACATGTAGTAATGCCGTAATTGACAGTAAATGCAAGTTCAGCTCGAGCAATGAAGACTGCGCCCCCTTTTACACTGCGCACCCTTTTCCCAAAAGAGGGTCGCTTCCGATTCGGCAGAAAGGCCATACGAGCCAATGCCAGTCCCACAGGTCGTGTTTAGTAGGTAGGCACTTCTTCAAAGTGAATCCCACATAACCACACAGCCGGCTGTCGTGGTATGCTATGAGCATTCACCACCTCCCTTCCCCGCTTCCGGAAGGTGCCTTGCAATGAGCGCAAAAAAAACCAAGCAATGAAATAGTCATTGCAAGCTCTAACACTAACTATAAATGATTTAAGTCTTAATATTTAAACTACAAAATACATTCAGGAGGTTTTATATTTTGTGCGAATATATAATGCACCCAAACTACAAAATTATGGTTTAAGTGTTACCATAATTTTGAATATTGTATTGTAAAACCTTTAAAAAATATTAAGTTTAAAGTTTGAACGTTAAAGTTTGTGCTGTTATACAAAGATTGTAATTATTATTTTTAGAGATAATGGACATCATTTATTAAGGATTAATATAGGATATATTCCAAATGATGTCCATTTTTCATATTTTCTAAATATCAATAAGCAATAAAGGTAGGAGAAGGTTTTTATATAAAAGTTTCGTCACATCTATATTTTTATCTGGTTAAATTATTAGTAACAAACTTGGCCTTACCAGTCTGGTTCGAAGGCCGCTGTTTACAGACCATCTTGAGTCTAAGCTCAAACCCTACATAGTATATATTTGTGTAATGTAACATAGTATGTTCCAGACTCAAATTTTAATATTGTGGACTTTTCTATCCATTTTTTTTATAGAAGGGGTTGACAAACGGGCACACAGTCCACCTGATGGTAAGTGGATACTGTAACCCACAGACATCTACATTTATCTTCGATTAAGAATCAAAGGCAGATGCGTTGCCACCCATGAGGACTAAGATGGAATGCCTTGTTTCCAGTAAAAAGGGTCTCCGGTTCACTACACTCACCATACGAAACACAGCAACATTAAGCTGCTATTTTGTTCTGGTATTCTGTGAGAGCGTGGTCCTTTCTCGGTCGAGCCGACCCATTATGGCTAGAGCCATTATATAGAGCTGCAGCGTGGCACTACCAGCTAAAACTTGCTTTGCACTAATACTTGTTTGATATTAATTGCATCAAAATTTGCTATTGTTAGTTTTGTCAATAAAATAAAAAATTCTATGTTAAACAGCTTAAGTTTTTTCGGCAGCACTACCAAATGGGTTCGAAAAAAGTATTGGTTGTAACAAACCGTGTCTGCACCAAAGTATTCAATCGCTTCTTTGT